ACACACACACAGAAGGGCACTTAGTTGCACAAACCTTTATTTGCATGGGACCCCACCTACAGGTCTCGTGTTCTTTACAAACTCACAGTCCAGTGCATGCTTCTAATACAAGTTGTAGAAAACCGTGAACACGTGAAGAGTGCACTTGATATAAAAATAAATTACCTTCTAAAAGCTACTGTAAAGCATTCCAGTTATAAAAAGTCAGCCGACAAGTACACACGGTCTAACAGACCCAGCTCTGAAGACAGGGTTGCCGGGAACCACGCTATAACCACGTCTGCGACCAAGAGAACCCTAAGAGGGGACTCCTTCTCGTTCCAGTGTGATGGAATCTCTGCACTGGGAAACAAGCCTAGCTAGCCCAGTAACACGGCCACACAGCAGAGTTCAGCTCTGGGCGAATTTCTGTTACCTGAACACATTTTCTCACCCAGGAGTCTAATCGGTAGGAGAAATTCCCAACTGTCTTCAGGAACTATAGTGCTTAAAATTTGGAGAGGGGAGGAAAGGGGCAAATAATAGAGGCGTGAGCATTCTTCAGTGTGTGGAAAGACTGCAGATGTCTTAGCAGCTAAAAGACTGAGGTCAAAGGGAATGAAAACTGGGTGATTTCGAAGAGCCTGGGAAGGCCCCCTGCGCAGGCCGCATGTGAGAAAGAGGACGCCAAGGCCCAGGAATGCTGCCACCAGGTGACGCGTGATTGGCAGGAGACCTCTCTAACAGGGCTTCCACCAGGCTGTTCCAGCTCACCCCTGCTGAGAGCATGTGTTCCTTCCAGCGCAGTGATACGGAAGGAGAGCCTACATTCGACAATAAAGGGATTTCCTGACGAAGTCTATGTGGACAAGCCTCACCTGGGGATCTTGTGGAGTGTAGGTTTGTCCTGCAGTCTCCGGTGAAAAGGCAAGTTCGAACAAACCAGTTCAAAATCCACTCTCTGACTACCACCTGCGTGACTGGCAGGCCGGCATTCCTGCTACTCTACAACACTTGGAACAGAATCAGAGCCAGCCCCTGCCTTTGCAAATGACCGCGCTCACTGTGGACCTAGTTCTTGCCCGCTGCCCTCACGCCACCACAGCAGAGCTGACAGGGTTCCATCGCTGCCGGCTCTGGATGAGACGGCAAGAACCTCGTTTCTCGGGTCCCTGACTGACACCAAACTGATGAGTGTGCTTTCTCAGAGCGACTGCCAGATCCCGCTACGCTCACAAGGTTTCTGAGTGCCCGCGCTCTCACTGAGAGAGGGACACAACTTCCAGGCAGACCTGAGAAGCATGAGAGGATAAGCCGGCCAGAATCAAGGAAGCAGCCAGGGGCTCTCATCTCTCAGTGCCCACAGAGCGTCCGAATGACACGAAAGTTAAGTCGACATAAACGCGAAAAACCCACTGAAGAAACTCCATCGGCTTTTCTGTAGCCAAACTTTAGGAAAGCGACTGAGGGCACTTCTGAACTTCCCACGATCAAAGGGAAAGAGCCAAGCAGTCAAAGGGTGGGAACAAAATCGCAGGAGCCGATCCCAGGCAGCCCTCGGGCACCACTAACAGTCCACACCACACAGTCACGTCAGGGCTTCACATGGCACAGGGAACTGAGAGAAAGCCACAAGCCTTACTGTCAACGACCCTTTCCTCTCTCAGCACTGGAACATGGCCTGGCTACAGTGGCGGCTCTTCTAACCCCACGGCAGGCAGCAGGGCCTTGTGCCCAGCCCTGCAGGGAGAGCAGGGCCTACAGCCGAGAGCCACTCAGGCGCAGCCACGGGTCCACACAGGGCACTCCAGGAGGGCAGAAGAAGCCCCACCGCTTCCCAAGCCGCCTCAAACTCTGCTAACAGGGCTACATGCTACCTTCCTTGTTTCTAAGGAGTTCCCAGAGTAAAATCCAGTACTGTACAAAAATCCAGTGAAGTCCAGAAAGAAAGTAATCACAAAGTCGTGCAGCCTGCCCGGTGGCTACAGCAGCAGCCGGTTAGCTTCCGCCAACCTGAGGCTGCTATCTCAGCCGTCAATCACCTCCTGGCAGCCTGCCAATGGAGGACGCTACCGGCAGTTTAAACTGGAATGGTCAAGTCCAGGATCGTTCGTGCTCTCTGCAAACATGTTTTCATTCCTCCTGACTTAGGTCAATTAGATGCTGCCAATATTTCTTTTAAACTATATTGAACTACTGCCTGGAAACTTCTACGTGGTAGAGAAAAACTCCCCTCCCTCTAACTGACATGCATTTTTATCACTTGGTAGGGCTACTTCACCTCATCTGGGGATCAGATGATTCAGATGTCAGATGGACTTTAATCCTCTCTACTGGAGTCCTATGCCCTGAATATGGGCTGCTCGCAGCAAGGTCAGCAGTTCAAAGACACCAACTGCTCCATGGGAGAAAGATGAGGCTTCCTACTCCCGTAAAGGTTTATACTCCTGGAAACCCCCAGGGGCAGTTCTACTTGAACTTGATGGCAATGAGCTTGTTTGTTTGAGGGGGGTTGGTATGGCCCGAAGGTCACCAGCCAGTCGCACCACTTCAGCTGCCCCTTCCTGCCCAAATGCACCCAACCTGCCTTCTTTCCCAGTGTCCTCTAGAACCACTCTTCACGCAGTAGCTCTTGCTGACTCACACATGCTTCTCTTTCCTTGCAGAGACAGACACCCCCACTGCCTACCTGTCACATTCTCTTAGCTCCTGAGCACCCCACCCCCCACAGGGGAATGGAACAAGACCAGCCTTCACTGCTTGCAACTCCAGGGCGGCCTCCGTCAGCAGACCTGACCTCTCACGACAACGACAACGTCTTCATTCAAGCATCCGTTTCCAGATTTGCTACATCATGTCAGGGCCTGCAAACAGTGTTTCCTTTTAGCTTGAGACTCAGATGAATTTTAAGGGAGTCCCAACCAATATTCTGCCTGAAAGAATTCGAGTACCTTGAGACAGCAAGATGATACACCGCCTCTGGCTACTTAGTTCCTACATTTTAGAGAGTTTAAAATAAGGACGATGCTGTTTGACCCAACTGGATGAACAGTTCAGGTTTCCAGGTCTTGGGAGCACAACGCTAACCTTTCAGCCCATCTAGACAACATAAACCAAACTCTGAACTCACGGCCATCGACTACATTCTGACTCACAGCAACCCTGCCCAGGTGGAGCTGCCCCTGTGGGTTCTACTACAGTGATGCTTTACAAGAAAAGCCTCATCTTTCTGTGGTTTTGAACAGCCGACCTCGTAACGTGTCACCCACTCCACTGCCAGAGCTCCTTCTGCACATGTCCTGGTGTCAGGAGTGACAGCTGTGAGAAAATCTGTTTTACAATTAAGAACGGTTAAGATGATGTGGCTAAGGAGAGGCACACAGCAAGCAGAGCCAATTTCCTTTCCTCCAACAAAACCATTACGTGCCAAAGTCACTTCAAACTCCAGCTCCCTGGGAAACAAGGCAGGGTAAACATTCCTAGGCTTTCCAGCCAGACACCACTGCTTGTTTGCTTGCACACATGATCATGCTGCAGGGAGTCTAGGATGGTCCAAACCAGGGAACTCGACAGGTCATAAAACCAAGGGCTCTTTTCCGCTGAGCAGTACAAATTCATGCCCGATCCACAACAAACTTCTGGAAGCACTGTTTACCATCAGCCCCAATGACAAGAGGGCAGCACTAACCCGACCAACCAGGTTCCCCAAGGATCCTCAGTCCCCACAGCAACCCGAGTTCACCTCGAGTGCGAACGCAGAAACGGCGCAATTTCCGGGCCTCCGATACTCCTCTGTATCTTCTACAGTACGCGTGCACTACTTTCACATCCAGAAACACTGCGGGCGGGGAATAGTTAAGTCAACACTCACAGTAAACCGTCTTAGAACCCAGGCAAGTTGGAATCTGGACAGGATTTTTGTACAGACAGCGATAGATGAGAAAACCGCTCTCTCAGTATGTCGGGTAGACCTCAAGAGACATTTCCCACACTTGACCCGGTCCGGTTTTGCGTCCCAGTCTCTCTTTGTTTGGTCTGAGTTTACAAGCTCTACATTCATTCAGCTTAAACTGAAGTATGAGGTGAGTGAAAACGTTCATGTCTGCACAGGTTTATTCCAGACAAAGTGTGTGACCATCTCTCTGTAATAAGTGATGGCTGAGGAACAGAGGTCCTGGCCTCTTAAGGTGCCTTAAAAAAAGCTTTTTTTTTTTTTATTGTAGCATGGAAAAATTCTCTTTTTTGAGGTCAGGACTAGTATCAAATTTTTAACAAAATTCAAGTGGACAATTTCCTAAGACACAAAGCCTGGCAGCACGTTTACGGGAAAGCTGCCCCCATACAACAAGTCTCTAGGCGGCTCAGTGTTCTGAAGGTCAGAGGAACCTCAGACATGAGTTCAAGTTCGAGGGATCAGCTCAGACGATGACGGTGGCTGCTTGCTGATCCCCAAAGGGGAAATCTTGACAGATTTTCTCACAGGACTCAGGATATCCTGGGAATTTATTAGGAAGAAGTTTTCAGAAAATGGAAAACTATCCTGGTGAGAAAAGACCAGGAAAGTTGTGACAAGAATTTTTTTTTAAATCACAAAGCACGAGAGCTGTCCTATGAGAATTTAGTTGGGAAACCTTACCCCATTCACCCTACAGCCCGGAACTGGTCTCCCCAAACTCAAAGAACACTGAAAAGCAGCTCGGTTTGAGTTGGGGTGGGGGCGGGGGAGGGAAGGGAAGTGCAGGTCTTGAGGGAGGGTCAGAGAAAGGCACACACCTCCAGAATCATGTGGCCTCTATGGAGGGACCCTGAGAAACAACAGCATCGCACTGTGGCGCCATGGTTAAACATGGTCTAATAACCTTGATTTATATAAAGGCTTCTCGGACTTTGGAGCAATACTTTCTCACTTGCCCTCTTAATCATGAAAGGACTGAGGCAGCCTAGTATGGGGTTGTTATGAACCGTTAGAGCCAGTAGGTGGAGACAAGAGCCTGAAGAAAACAACAAGGAAAATAATTTCCTTGTTTCAGAAATTCACAATTTAATAAAATGATATCAAACTACCACACCCCCTCACTTGGGGAGAAATGCAGTGTGATTAGACCCTTCCAGTTGGACAGAATATGAAACCATTGAAGTCGGTGTTGGTAGAGCCTTTTCCCTATTAGTAGAGGACACGCTCCTAAAACCAACATTTTCCACCTAAAATTAACTCCGGGAGGAGCTGCTGGGCAGTGCGAGGCAGTCCGGTTCCAGGCAGGAAGGGGGCATTCCTTAGAGCTCAGTTGTGAGTAAACACTTCTGCTTCAAGACGGCTTCCTGGGCCAAAGTCGGAGCAGAGCTGAAAGGAAAAGAAACGAGTTATTCAAGAATCCCTGCCCTGGTGCCACGTGTACCCTGGACATGTCACCAGGAGAGCAGTCACACGTGGTAAAGTGGAGAGACAGTGAAAACGAGGAAGACCCTCAACTATGAGACTAATAAGGGGTAGAAGGAAGCAGAGAGGTTCTAAAATTGATTGTGGTAATGACTGTACAATACAACTCTTCTTGGTGTGATGAAACTATTGGATTGTATGATATGTGGAGGAAGTGCCAATGAAACTGTGAAAAAAAAAATAATAATAATACAAGGAAACTAAAAAAAAAGAAAGTGAATTAACTCCACTCCTTCTCCAGCCAGCCGAGTGGGGCAGTCTTCCTTGGGGCTTGGCGGGGGTCCTGGATGCAGAGCGCTGTACTGGGGGCTCACACAGTCATGAGATAGGGCCTATCAGTCCTGCGCTCATGCCCTGGCTGCCTTGGTCAGAAGTCCCTGGGCCAAAATTTTAAGCTCTGGTGTCTAACAAAATATACATGTCTCAGTCATGGTCCCATTCCTGTCTCTGAAGTCCTGTAACTGTGATGTATTGATCTGGCTCCAATCACGGATTGGTGGCAGTTTCTTTTGTGCTCCATGCCAAGCCGGTCCTAGGATGCCCTCATGCCCTCATGCTAATGGCCTCCTCCTTCAGGACGGATCTTTGTCTTAACCCTGTTGGAGACTTAATAAATGTCCTCCTTACATTCTATAGGTGAGATTTGGGGTCTCTTTTGTAGCCTAAGACAAGATACAGATATTAACTCTTAAGACAAAAATCATCTGGAAGGAGATAATGGTGTCCACGGATTTACAGAAACATGACCATTGAAACAGGACAGTACAAAGGCAGCGGTCACCAAGTCTGAAGGCAGAGCGACACACTGCAGGTACTAGACAGGTGGGACTACGGAAGAGGGCGGAGCTCACGGCAGGGGTACAGACTCGTCTAGTTAGAAAACTTGTCATTCTGATTCATACAGGTCCCTTGCCTTTTCATCTTGTCTGTTTAAGGCTTAATACGGTGTCTCCACAAAACGCTTTAGTGTTCCCCTCTAGAACAGTGTAAACAAACTACACAAGACAAAACAAAAGAACGACAACAAAAATAGAAGCGTGTACAAATATTTTCTCTCTCTGAGGCTTTCCTCTTGAAACTATATCTTTTGATGGACAGAAGTTACTCCAAGTTATTCATCTTTTTCTGGATAGTTAGAATTTTTTGTGGCATGCTTAAAAAAAATCTTCACTTAATCTAAGATCACAGAGTTGCTCACCTCTATTTTCTTTGGCATGTCACATTTCCATCTCTAATCTCTCGAGACCAGACTCTGTGTTATGATGAGGTGTACAACGACCCTTTTTTCCCATCTGGATATCTAATTTGCCCAGGTGACTTACTAGAAAGAGCACTTTTGTCACAACACTGACTCATCGTCTCCTTCATAAACCAGGTAACTGGACAAAGGGAGGTCAAAAAGTACTGCTATAAAATAATAGACACCTCTGTTAAACAAAACCATCAAACTGTGAAACAGTTGTTTCTTGTACAACATCCAGTTTGGAGGAAGGTTTATTACAACCTGCAATACGCAGACAACCCAACCTTGCTTGCTGACCATGAGGAAGACTTGAAGCACTTACTCATGAAGGTAAGGAGTGCAGCCTTCAGTGTGGACTATAATTCAACGTAGAGAAAGCTCAAACCATCACAACGGACCAACAGGTACTGTCATGAACAATGGGGAAAAGGCGGAAGTTGTCGATTTAACCTTGCTCGGACCCACAGTCAGTGCTCATGGAAGCAGCAGTCTGGGTAATTGGCAGCACAAGGCCTCGTTAAAGCAAGGGTTATTACCTTGAGGACTAAGGTGCACCTGACCCCAATTGGTGGCATCAGATGCATGTGAGATTTGGAGTTGGATCAAGGACAGAGAAGGACCCATGCATCGGAATTATGACTGGCAAGAGCGGTGAGAGTTCCGAGCAGATGTGTCTTAGAAGGAGTACAGCCAGAATGCTCCTTACAGCACGGCGGCAAGGCGTAGTCTCAGGTACGTGGACATGTGGTCAGGAGAGACCAGTTCCTGGAGAAGGGCACATGCTTGCCAGAAAGGCCATGAAAAAGAGGAAGATGGCCTTGCAGAGTGGCTGCAAGGACGGGCTCACCTGTAAGAGCAGTCACGGCGATGACGGCACGGACGAGGCAG